GAGGGCGTTAAACAGATCTTCTGGATTCCGTGCGTTGCCCATGTCATGGACCTCATTCTCGAGGACATCGGCGGGATTGATTGGGTGGCTTCCCGCATCGCTCAGGCGAGGCTGGTGACGAGGTTCTTCAAGCGCCATGGCCACGCGAGGGAGGTTCTGGAGGTGTACTCGAAGAAGACTCTTCTGCTGCCGACAGAGACGCGTTTTGGAACGAACGTCATCATGATGGAGAGGCTGGTGGACCTGCGGGGAGATCTGACGAAGGTTATAGGCGACAAGCGCTGGCGTGAGACGGTTTGGTCCACCAGCAAGATTCGCAAGGACGCTGCGGAGGTCACTGCGTGCATCGGATCTCCTCCACGGTGGGAGGATCTGATAGCTCTGTACCATATGCTAGACCCTATCATGGACATGCTGAGGTTGGTGGACAGCGACACACGCCAGATCAGCAAGATTTTGCGCCGTTATGAGGTGATGATTGCATCTTGTTTGTCTGCTTGCAAGGACATTGAACGGGATCAGCAGGACGCTATTCTGGAGGTGTTTGCGAGGCGGCGCACCATGTTCCGGACCCCCGCCCACACAGCAGCCATGTTGTTGGATCCTGAGTTCCGGGACCCAACGCTTTGTGACGATGCTGAGGTGCAGCAGGCGTTGGTAGAGGCCCTGGTCTAGTTCGGCTACCCAGAGGATTCGCCCCAGCACCGGGAGGTCCGTCGAGCCGTTGACAAGTTCCACACATGTGAGCCGCCTTTCGATGACGTCACCGTGCGGCGAGCGATGGATAGCTTTGACCATCCTGCCAGTTTTTGGTCGTCGAGGAGTGCGAAGTTCCCTCACACGGCCGTGTTCGCCAGCAGGATACTCCGCATCTGAGCGACGGCGTCACCGTGCGAGAGAGCCTGGTCTCGCTGGAGCTTCATTCATTCAAAGTCTCGGAACAGGTTGGAGGTAGCTCGGGCTGAGAAGCTTGTCAGGTGCCACTGGAACCTCAGGCTGCTCGATAGACCGGCCTTGCATGACGATGGTGCTGGTGAGAGGCCCGACATCTTCGGGAAGTGGGTGCATTATTTGCAGGCCGTGGAGGACGAGGTCCCCGTGGACCATCAGCTCGTCAGAGGCAGTGGAGCACGGGCCATGGTGACTGAGGAGGAGTTGACCACCGCTAGAGAGAGGATGCGCGCGGTTTTCCGCATGGGAGCCGAGCGTCGGGTGGCGGAGTCCGACAGGCGCCGACGCAGGGCCGGAGGTCGCGGACGAGCAGTGGCCGGTGGACCGACGCGCGGCGACGTGCGTGCAGGTTCGCAAACACGACGACGGCGGGCGGACGATTTCGTTTGCAAGCCTCGCGTGCGCTGGGACGAGGGAGACTTCCTGTTCGACAACACGTCCAGCGACGACGACGATTTCTTCGCGTCAGGCACACCGGCGGCCGACGACGACGATGGAGGTGACAGTGGAGGCAGCGGCGACGGAGGAGGTGACAGGGGAGGTGGTGGGTGCGGGGGCGCTGGTGGTGGTGACAGGGGAGGTGATAGTGGAGGCGACAGGGGAGGTGATGGGTGTGGGGATTGGAGTCAGCTGGTGGTGGTGACGGTGGAGGTGACAGGGGAGGTGGTGGGTGTGGGGGCGCTGATGGTGGTGACGGTGGAGGTGACAGGGGAGGTGATGGTGGAGGCGGTGACAGAGGAGGAGGTGACAGGGGAGGTGGTAGGTGCGGGGGCGCTGGTGGTGGTGACGGTGGAGGTGACAGGGGGGGTGATGGTGGAGGCGGTGACAAAGGAGGAGGTGACGGTGTGAGGAAACCCGGGGAGGGGTCACCTACGTTTCGCCGAAGCCAAGGGCAACGACGCCTGTCACTCGCCGCGCCCGCTTCCGAGGTCCTCGGCAACCCGTAGGGAATGGGGTTAGAGTGTTTGGTTACTTTCCCTGCCTTTATCTCATTAATTTCGGTAATCCCACAAATCCACACCGCGCCTAGTTCGGACAGTCAAATGTCCGTCCAGGGAGTTTGTCGAGTCAGCGAGTTTGATTAGTCTACTGATCAGATCAGCAAGCTCGTCCCGCAACAAGATAGAATAGTTTACTAACAGTTCTGCCAGTTCACACACTAGGCGGCCCCACTTGCCGAGAAACATATCTACAAGTTTGCCCACCAACAGATAAAAATAGTCAATTAACAGTCTGGTATATCCGCCCGACGGCAAGTCAGAATAGTCAACTTCAGATCTGTAAGTTCATTCACTAGAAGGTCCGAATAATCAAGCAACAGTTCGGCGGGCCCGCACATCAGAGGAATTTTGCAGTCACCAAGAGAAGGAGTAATAGTAGCAACAGTTTTCTTTGTCTGTTGGAACTTTTGTCCGTTGGGTCACTCGCTGCGCGCACGTTCAAAGGTAGATAGCTGTGGTAAATCTGGTCTTTGCGAATGAATGCCTGTTCGTTACCTTCTCTATACGAAGGGTCCCGCCATGTATCTGATCAGATAATTGCTCCCATTCGATGATCAGATCTGCATGTTCAGGTCAATTAGCTCTCTTGGTCCGCTGTGGCCTCGCTCTCTCTCACACACGCTATCCCTCGTCTGCACCGTCCCTCTTCCTTCAAATAGAACGCATGATGTTGTCTGGGGGGGGGTACAGTCAACAGCGGGGTTTCAACTTGACGGGGGTTCGCTGGCTTGATCATGCACACACTTTCTCTGACTTGTGATACGTCGGATGCACCACTTGAGAGCTACAGGTGCGGGGGTTCACACAGATCCAACACCCATGCTTTTGTAGAGGTGACAGCAGGATCTTTGATCATCAACGAGACTACCGTTATCTTCATCATCGGAGATTCACTCATCACCGCGCGCCACGTCATCACATAACTGCCAGCTCCCCCAGCGTCAAGATCGAGTGGCACTTCATCACACGACTGTTCTCGCACGGCCCCCTCTTTCTCTCTCATTCTCTCTCACTCTCTCTCACTCACTCAGTCCTCTGTCTCTCTCCCTCTCTCTCTCTCTCTCTCTTCCTCTCTCTCTCTCTCTCTCTCTCTCTCTCTCTCTCTTTTCCTCTCACACTCCTCACTTACATAGTGTGCTTGCGATTCCCCCATCATTTCTCCATGATCTAGCTGATTCCTTGTCTGATGAACCTGACCTCGCTTTGGGCCAGGAGCAAAGAATTTTGTAAACGGAAAAAACAAAGTTGGGTACGCTCTCTCTCAGTCACATTGTCTCTCTGATTAGTCATTCCCGCCGGGCTGACTAGTTTCCAGACTCGAACTTGAAGGTCCCTGAACGTGATCAGAGTCAGGGACTCTACCCCCTTTTTCCCTGCGCCGTGCGTTCAAGTCTGGATGTACCTGGTCTTGATTAGGTCCAGGAGGATGGGGTTTTAATAAAATTAATAATAATATATATTATTCTTCCAGCTACCCAGCGCTGTCCCCACTAGTCTATCATCCGCTAGTTTGCTGGCTCTTTTCCTCGCATCTGCCTGTTCTCTGATTCGAGTGCACATCCTCATACACACACAATCTCTCACTTCCTCTCTCTCTGCGCTGTGGCGTCACTCTCTCTCTTCGAATCGAAACTGTCACTTCGAGTGTGGGCTGCGGACACCTCGCGCCGTCTCTCTGTTGGTTGACGAGCGCATCTTTCCCACTCGCCTCCTCAACGTGTACGCCTGCCTCGCCCGAGTGATCCCGTTCCTAGTTGTTGAGCTCGACAAGCTTCGCTTTCCGAGGTGACTTATCCGATTCGCATTAAGGAAAGACAAGTTCAAGGTCTGATCATACTCTCTCCGTTTGTCTGTGGACAGATCAGGTACGAATGAGAACTTTCCTTCCGTCTGGTCTCGCATATACTCGCGGTTGTGAACACCGTGCACGCTCCCCAATTCCACCTCTCTTCCGTTTCGTCTCATCATACAAACATTACATCGTTCCCTAGCGGGTTGCACACTCCTTGCCCCCGCAAGCTACCTCGGTTCTCAGACTTTCCCCAACGGGCCGTTCACAATGTGCCCAGTGAGCTAGTCCACTGCGCACGCCGTGCACGCTAGTCAAGCGTTATCTTCCCCCTTGTTGTCCACGCCTGCCCCTAGATGAATGCCCTTGTCCCCCTGAGTCTGTCCCTCAACCAGCCTGTTCCCGGATGGGCTGCGGACGCCAGGTACGCCCCGACTTCCTCGACCACCGTTTTTTTTTTTTTTTTCTCCTCTCTTACTTGCTATATCTTGCGGGCACCGTAGGACTCGACCTCCAAGTCCCACCCCCAGGCCCGTAGGTCCAAGCCTGAGGCTAAGGAGAGGTCTTCTTACTTTCCACCGGGTACTGAGGGCCCGCACATTCGGTGTCAGACCTGTGGCCCCAACTTTTGGCCTGAAAACCATTCCAGGCGGTATCAATCTGCCAGGTTACTGCAAAACGTAGACCACTCCGACTGTCATTTCAGAATCTGAGAATCATTCTCGCCGCAACAGGCTGTCATAGAACCTGATCCGCCAGGATAAAGACGCTGTTCCAGGACGAACCACAACGGTCCCAATCAAGCAACGTGGCTAAGCCGCAGTGGCACCATACACACGGCGAAAATCGTGACTGTTTCGGTCCGACTGCCGCCCCAGAACAATGCAGAATCTCATACCATATAGCCAATACCATAACAACTTCGTGCACGTTCTGAACCTGTATTCCACCATCGTTCCAGACCGGTGTCCGTACCTTCTCCATGCGGAATGCATGCCAAAATCGGCCATATGGCTGCACCGCTCCAACCATATCGCCGTGCCCAGAAAACAGGATCCTATGTCGTGGCATAAACGTGCCATGCCAACACCAGCAAATTTTGTACCGTACCCGTTCGGACCCTGAAAACAAGTATTAGCCTGCAATTTCAAGTCGACGTTGAACCAAAGTCGAACCAATACCGGGTCAGAATTATATCAAATCCCGCACAGCGTCGCAGTTCCGTGATAGCACAGANTGTTGTTGTTGTTGTTGTTGTTGTTGTTGTTGTTGTTGCTGTTGTTGTTGTTGCTGTTGTTGTTGTTGCTGTTGTTGTTGCTGGTGCTGTTGTTGCTGGTGCTGTGGTTGTGGTTGTGGTTGTTGTGGTTGTTGTTGTTCTGGTTGTCGTGGTTGTTGTTGTTGTGGTTGTTGTTGTTGTTGTTGTTGTTGTTGTTGTTGTGGTTGTGGTTGTTGTGGTTGTTGTTGTTGTTGTTGTGGTTGCTGTTGCTGTTGCTGCTGTTGCTGTTGTTGTTGTTGTGGTTGTTGTGGTTGTTGTGGTTGTTGTGGTTGTTGTGGTTGTGGTTGTGGTTGTGGTTGCTGCTGTTGCTGTTGTTGTTGTTGTGGTTGTGGAACTTGTGGTTGTGGTTGTGGTTGTTGCTATGGTTGTGGTTGTGGTTGTGGACCTTGTGGTTGTGGTTGCTGTTGCTGTTGTTGCTGTTGTTGCTGTTGTTGCTGTTGTTGCTGTTGTTGTTGTTCTTGCGGTTGTTGTTGTTGCTGTGGTGGTGGTGGTGGTTGTGGTTGTGGTTGTTGTTGTTCTGGTTGTCGTGGTTGTTGTTGTTGTGGTTGTTGTGGTTGTTGTTGTTGTGGTGGTTGTGGTTGCTGTTGTTGTTGTTGTGGTTGATGTTGCTGTTGCTGCTGTTGCTGTTGTTGTTGTTGTGGTTGTTGTGGTTGTGGACCTTGTGGTTGTGGTTGCTGTTGCTGTGGTTGTTGTTGTTGTTGCTGTTGCTGTCGTTGTTGTTGTGGTTGTTGTTGTTGTTGTGGTTGTTGCTGACGAAGCTGTTGCTGTTGTTGTTGTTGTGGTTGCTGCGGTTGTTGTTGCTGTTGTTGTTGTTGTTGTTGTTGTTGTTGCTGTTGTTGTTGTTGCTGTTGTTGTTGTTGCTGTTGCTGCTGTTGCTGTTGTTGTTGTTGTGGTTGTGGTTGTGGTTGTTGCTGCTGCTGTTGTTGTGGTGGTGGTGGTTTTCATTGTTCTTTTGTTGTTGTTGTTGTTGTGGTGGTGGTTTTCATTGTTCTTTTGTTGTTTGTTTTCAATTATATGTGGTTCCATGACTTTCTGATTTGTTTTCATTGTTCTTTTGTTGTTTCTTTGTGTTTTTTTTTTTTTTCGTTCCATATTTTCGCTTCGCTTCCCAGGTGGTGTGTTCCACACTTTTGCATTCTCTTCGGTTCCCCGAACCGTCGTCTTCTGTCGTCGAAGCTCCGCGCCTTCATCATGTCGCAGGACCGCAGCAAGGGTCCTGGGCTGGCGGACCCTTCAATGGGCCCGAGGCAAGGTCATAACACGAAGGCGTTCGAGTCGCCTTTCAAGGTTGATGCGAAGGTCGACAGGAAGAGAGACGATCCGGTGTGGCATTTCGTCGCGAGAGGTCGTTATTTGGATGGCTCCACGGCGGCGGGTAGGAAGCTTGGTCGTCGCTGCCTGTGCAGGTTGTGCGGTCGTTCCATTTGCGGGGGCGCCAAAGCAGCCAGGGAACACTTCTCGAAGAGCGAGAAGTTCAGATGCGAGGTGGCCACTCCTGCGGTGTGGTATGCCATCTGGGCGAAAGACATGACCAAATGTCCGAAGGAGTTCGCTTCGGCCATCGAGTCGTTGCAGAGCTTAGAGGCAGGCCATCCAAGGTTCCAGTGGCCACCGTTGCGATACCCCGAGGACTCGGTCCCGGCTCCCGATTCCACGACCGCCCCCTCCGTTGCGGCGCCATTGCCTGGTCTTGTGGCTCCAACTGCTGGGGTCACAGTCACGCTGCCGGCGACGACATGTCCACCACCTCGGCCACATCCTACGGTAGCTGGGACACCGGGTGCTCGGCATGCGCATATTGGTCGGTCAATGCCGGCCAACGAGCCCCCACCTGTTAGGGATGGTGGAGGCCTTGCGGCATTTGACGAGGATAGCACACGTTCTTTCGTTGACAGTCGCAGGTGGGGGGGGGATGCGGGCACGTCGGCCAGACTCGCCCCTGTGTTCATCGGTGCCAGACAGTCAACTGCCGCACGGGCTACTAGTGTTGTGACACCCGCCGCACCTGCCCGCCGTTCGTCGGAGCACCCTTGGCTGCCGCCTCCGCTGTCAAGAGCGGCACAAGATCCTGCCGTCGGCCATGTCGGTGTGATGGACAGACCAGATCCTACGCACGTGCCTGCAGATGCTGGACATCCTGCTCCCCCTTCCCGAGTCGGGGGACAGGTGGCGCCCGGGGCGCCTGCTGAGGAGGCCCCCCCCCCGGTAGCCGATTCAGCACCGACCCCGGTTTGGACAACGACTGGCACTGCTCGGTCTGCTCCACCTGTGCTCAGCGGATCATTAGATCCTTTGTACCGCATGCGCGACATTGCAGTCGCCCAGAGTGCGGCACCTGCGAGTCCTGGTGGGTTGTTGGATGCCGGGGTCCTCGGTGGCCGAACCACGACGGGACGTGGTCGGGGGACTTATCGCCAGCAGGCTGTGACGTCGTATTATTCGGACGCTTTGGAGCGGGCTTGGCAATTGCAGATCATGAGGTTCATCGTCGAGAGCGGGATGCCGTTCAACTGCGCGAAGCTCGAAAGCTTCAAGCGCATGTTCACGATGATCATCCCGCCAGGGATTCCCGGGGCGCCCTTGCCAAAACTCCCCACGTACCACATGCTGCGCACGACCGTCCTGGATGAGCTGGATGCCGAGGTCCTGAAGTGTGTTCGCCCTATTCTTGACACGTCAAGACAGCATGGTTGCACAATCATGACCGATGGTTGGAGCAACATCAGGGGTCAGACATTGTGCAACTACCTTGTCGAGACAGAGATAGGGGTAGCGTACGTGGCCACCGACGTCATGTGCGGAAAGAAGGACGCCTATGCGCTCGCAACCTCGTGGTTGAACGGGGTGAAGTCCATGGACGTGAACTTGAGCGACATAACAGCGTTCGTGACGGACTCCGCCGGGGTCAACGTCGTGGCGATGGACGTTTTCCAGAAGGATGAGGGCGTTAAACAGATCTTCTGGATTCCGTGCGTTGCCCATGTCATGGACCTCATTCTCGAGGACATCGGCGGGATTGATTGGGTGGCTTCCCGCATCGCTCAGGCGAGGCTGGTGACGAGGTTCTTCAAGCGCCATGGCCACGCGAGGGAGGTTCTGGAGGTGTACTCGAAGAAGACTCTTCTGCTGCCGACAGAGACGCGTTTTGGAACGAACGTCATCATGATGGAGAGGCTGGTGGACCTGCGGGGAGATCTGACGAAGGTTATAGGCGACAAGCGCTGGCGTGAGACGGTTTGGTCCACCAGCAAGATTCGCAAGGACGCTGCGGAGGTCACTGCGTGCATCGGATCTCCTCCACGGTGGGAGGATCTGATAGCTCTGTACCATATGCTAGACCCTATCATGGACATGCTGAGGTTGGTGGACAGCGACACACGCCAGATCAGCAAGATTTTGCGCCGTTATGAGGTGATGATTGCATCTTGTTTGTCTGCTTGCAAGGACATTGAACGGGATCAGCAGGACGCTATTCTGGAGGTGTTTGCGAGGCGGCGCACCATGTTCCGGACCCCCGCCCACACAGCAGCCATGTTGTTGGATCCTGAGTTCCGGGACCCAACGCTTTGTGACGATGCTGAGGTGCAGCAGGCGTTGGTAGAGGCCCTGGTCTAGTTCGGCTACCCAGAGGATTCGCCCCAGCACCGGGAGGTCCGTCGAGCCGTTGACAAGTTCCACACATGTGAGCCGCCTTTCGATGACGTCACCGTGCGGCGAGCGATGGATAGCTTTGACCATCCTGCCAGTTTTTGGTCGTCGAGGAGTGCGAAGTTCCCTCACACGGCCGTGTTCGCCAGCAGGATACTCCGCATCTGAGCGACGGCGTCACCGTGCGAGAGAGCCTGGTCTCGCTGGAGCTTCATTCATTCAAAGTCTCGGAACAGGTTGGAGGTAGCTCGGGCTGAGAAGCTTGTCAGGTGCCACTGGAACCTCAGGCTGCTCGATAGACCGGCCTTGCATGACGATGGTGCTGGTGAGAGGCCCGACATCTTCGGGAAGTGGGTGCATTATTTGCAGGCCGTGGAGGACGAGGTCCCCGTGGACCATCAGCTCGTCAGAGGCAGTGGAGCACGGGCCATGGTGACTGAGGAGGAGTTGACCACCGCTAGAGAGAGGATGCGCGCGGTTTTCCGCATGGGAGCCGAGCGTCGGGTGGCGGAGTCCGACAGGCGCCGACGCAGGGCCGGAGGTCGCGGACGAGCAGTGGCCGGTGGACCGACGCGCGGCGACGTGCGTGCAGGTTCGCAAACACGACGACGGCGGGCGGACGATTTCGTTTGCAAGCCTCGCGTGCGCTGGGACGAGGGAGACTTCCTGTTCGACAACACGTCCAGCGACGACGACGATTTCTTCGCGTCAGGCACACCGGCGGCCGACGACGACGATGGAGGTGACAGTGGAGGCAGCGGCGACGGAGGAGGTGACAGGGGAGGTGGTGGGTGCGGGGGCGCTGGTGGTGGTGACAGGGGAGGTGATAGTGGAGGCGACAGGGGAGGTGATGGGTGTGGGGATTGGAGTCAGCTGGTGGTGGTGACGGTGGAGGTGACAGGGGAGGTGGTGGGTGTGGGGGCGCTGATGGTGGTGACGGTGGAGGTGACAGGGGAGGTGATGGTGGAGGCGGTGACAGAGGAGGAGGTGACAGGGGAGGTGGTAGGTGCGGGGGCGCTGGTGGTGGTGACGGTGGAGGTGACAGGGGGGGTGATGGTGGAGGCGGTGACAAAGGAGGAGGTGACGGTGTGAGGAAACCCGGGGAGGGGTCACCTACGTTTCGCCGAAGCCAAGGGCAACGACGCCTGTCACTCGCCGCGCCCGCTTCCGAGGTCCTCGGCAACCCGTAGGGAATGGGGTTAGAGTGTTTGGTTACTTTCCCTGCCTTTATCTCATTAATTTTGGTAATCCCACAAATCCACACCGCGCCTAGTTCGGACAGTCAAATGTCCGTCCAGGGAATTTGTCGAGTCAGCAAGTTTGATTAGTCTACTGATCAGATCAGCAAGCTCGTCCCGCAACAAGATAGAATAGTTTACTAACAGTTCTGCCAGTTCACACACTAGGCGGCCCCACTTGCCGAGAAACAGATCTACAAGTTTGCCCACCAACAGATAAAAATAGTCAATTAACAGTCTGGTATATCCGCCCGACGGCAAGTCAGAATAGTCAACTTCAGATCTGTAAGTTCATTCACTAGAAGGTCCGAATAATCAAGCAACAGTTCGGCGGGCCCGCACATCAGAGGAATTTTGCAGTCACCAAGAGAAGGAGTAATAGTAGCAACAGTTTTCTTTGTCTGTTGGAACTTTTGTCCGTTGGGTCACTCGCTGCGCGCACGTTCAAAGGTAGATAGCTGTGGTAAATCTGGTCTTTGCGAATGAATGCCTGTTCGTTACCTTCTCTATACGAAGGGTCCCGCCATGTATCTGATCAGATAATTGCTCCCATTCGATGATCAGATCTGCATGTTCAGGTCAATTAGCTCTCTTGGTCCGCTGTGGCCTCGCTCTCTCTCACACACGCTATCCCTCGTCTGCACCGTCCCTCTTCCTTCAAATAGAACGCATGATGTTGTCTGGGGGGGGGTACAGTCAACAGCGGGGTTTCAACTTGACGGGGGTTCGCTGGCTTGATCATGCACACACTTTCTCTGACTTGTGATACGTCGGATGCACCACTTGAGAGCTACAGGTGCGGGGGTTCACACAGATCCAACACCCATGCTTTTGTAGAGGTGACAGCAGGATCTTTGATCATCAACGAGACTACCGTTATCTTCATCATCGGAGATTCACTCATCACCGCGCGCCACGTCATCACATAACTGCCAGCTCCCCCAGCGTCAAGATCGAGTGGCACTTCATCACACGACTGTTCTCGCACGGCCCCCTCTTTCTCTCTCATTCTCTCTCACTCTCTCTCACTCACTCAGTCCTCTGTCTCTCTCCCTCTCTCTCTCTCTCTCTCTTCCTCTCTCTCTCTCTCTCTCTCTCTCTCTCTCTCTCTTTTCCTCTCACACTCCTCACTTACATAGTGTGCTTGCGATTCCCCCATCATTTCTCCATGATCTAGCTGATTCCTTGTCTGATGAACCTGACCTCGCTTTGGGCCAGGAGCAAAGAATTTTGTAAACGGAAAAAACAAAGTTGGGTACGCTCTCTCTCAGTCACATTGTCTCTCTGATTAGTCATTCCCGCCGGGCTGACTAGTTTCCAGACTCGAACTTGAAGGTCCCTGAACGTGATCAGAGTCAGGGACTCTACCCCCTTTTTCCCTGCGCCGTGCGTTCAAGTCTGGATGTACCTGGTCTTGATTAGGTCCAGGAGGATGGGGTTTTAATAAAATTAATAATAATATATATTATTCTTCCAGCTACCCAGCGCTGTCCCCACTAGTCTATCATCCGCTAGTTTGCTGGCTCTTTTCCTCGCATCTGCCTGTTCTCTGATTCGAGTGCACATCCTCATACACACACAATCTCTCACTTCCTCTCTCTCTGCGCTGTGGCGTCACTCTCTCTCTTCGAATCGAAACTGTCACTTCGAGTGTGGGCTGCGGACACCTCGCGCCGTCTCTCTGTTGGTTGACGAGCGCATCTTTCCCACTCGCCTCCTCAACGTGTACGCCTGCCTCGCCCGAGTGATCCCGTTCCTAGTTGTTGAGCTCGACAAGCTTCGCTTTCCGAGGTGACTTATCCGATTCGCATTAAGGAAAGACAAGTTCAAGGTCTGATCATACTCTCTCCGTTTGTCTGTGGACAGATCAGGTACGAATGAGAACTTTCCTTCCGTCTGGTCTCGCATATACTCGCGGTTGTGAACACCGTGCACGCTCCCCAATTCCACCTCTCTTCCGTTTCGTCTCATCATACAAACATTACATCGTTCCCTAGCGGGTTGCACACTCCTTGCCCCCGCAAGCTACCTCGGTTCTCAGACTTTCCCCAACGGGCCGTTCACAATGTGCCCAGTGAGCTAGTCCACTGCGCACGCCGTGCACGCTAGTCAAGCGTTATCTTCCCCCTTGTTGTCCACGCCTGCCCCTAGATGAATGCCCTTGTCCCCCTGAGTCTGTCCCTCAACCAGCCTGTTCCCGGATGGGCTGCGGACGCCAGGTACGCCCCGACTTCCTCGACCACCGTTTTTTTTTTTTTTTTCTCCTCTCTTACTTGCTATATCTTGCGGGCACCGTAGGACTCGACCTCCAAGTCCCACCCCCAGGCCCGTAGGTCCAAGCCTGAGGCTAAGGAGAGGTCTTCTTACTTTCCACCGGGTACTGAGGGCCCGCACATTCGGTGTCAGACCTGTGGCCCCAACTTTTGGCCTGAAAACCATTCCAGGCGGTATCAATCTGCCAGGTTACTGCAAAACGTAGACCACTCCGACTGTCATTTCAGAATCTGAGAATCATTCTCGCCGCAACAGGCTGTCATAGAACCTGATCCGCCAGGATAAAGACGCTGTTCCAGGACGAACCACAACGGTCCCAATCAAGCAACGTGGCTAAGCCGCAGTGGCACCATACACACGGCGAAAATCGTGACTGTTTCGGTCCGACTGCCGCCCCAGAACAATGCAGAATCTCATACCATATAGCCAATACCATAACAACTTCGTGCACGTTCTGAACCTGTATTCCACCATCGTTCCAGACCGGTGTCCGTACCTTCTCCATGCGGAATGCATGCCAAAATCGGCCATATGGCTGCACCGCTCCAACCATATCGCCGTGCCCAGAAAACAGGATCCTATGTCGTGGCATAAACGTGCCATGCCAACACCAGCAAATTTTGTACCGTACCCGTTCGGACCCTGAAAACAAGTATTAGCCTGCAATTTCATGTCGACGTTGAACCAAAGTCGAACCAATACCGGGTCAGAATTATATCAAATCCCGCACAGCGTCGCAGTTCCGTGATAGCACAGAGCCTTTACCAWACCCATACCGAGGCTGAATTAACCAGTCCCAGCAGTTTATACCGCAGCAGCCCACACCGGGCTWATGTCGAATCCGAAACAGTCAATCGGAGTCACTGTAACCAGTACCATGCCGATGCCGGACCAATACCGAGCCTGCAATATGTCGAACATCGTGGAGCGCCGCAGTGCCGTAGTAAWAYCGAACCTAAAAATGATGCAGTGGCGCATACCACACCGATCCCGACCCAACACCGTGCCAGTAACATGGCGGTAACCCCACGCCGTCCGTCCATCCCGTACTCATAACACGCGGGTTACAGTGAGGCTAGAAATCAGGGAAATCGGGTAAGCCGCACAGGCAAATCTCAGTCGTCAGAAAGTAGAGAGAATCATCGGAAGAAGAATAGATAAATGATCCGGGGTCAAAATCAACCGCGTATATTTAAGTAAAAAAAAAATGGTCAAATATCAAATAATCGTTGGTTCCTTCGCCCTTTTAATATTTTAGTTATATTTCTTTTTATTCTTTAATTTTATATCATAATYAATGAAATTAAAAGGATTCTCATCAAAAATGTTTTTCGACGGAACTCAGTAAAACATCAAAATCTCTTGTTTTCTTCCTCTTTTCATTGCTTTTGATCCCCTTTTCTTGTTTTTAATTCTAATGTCGGAATCACCAAATAATGAGGGTGATTCCATTAAAAATAAAATATCAAGGAAAATTTATAAATCAAAGAATATCCGTTTTTCTCTTCTCTTCTTTTGCTTTTAATTCTTTTTCCTATTTTTAATTCTAATATTAAAATTAATAAAATGTGAAGCTCCATTCTCGCGTCAGTTGGACAGCGTAAAAAGGCCTTGTCAGAGCCTATTCTCAATTCACCGTCCCGTAGCCAGTCGTTTCGGGAAAGGCTCGGAGCGGGCGAAAAAGAGATAGACAATAGGGTAGCCGTCAGGGCAGCAAAGCGGTAGTCCTTCTCTACAATTTGGAGGCCTAGTCTCAATGGTCGACACACCCAAATTTAGGGGTGCCGTGAGTTCCCTTAATCTCGGCCTCCTGGTCAGTCCAGTGTACCGTCAAAACACAGACTTATCCTTGAGCCTAAGTCCCAAACTGCCGTTTTCAGGCGGCGCACTACTAGTGGCCGCCTGACAACGGGGGAGGTGGTGGGTGCGGGGGCGCTGGTGGGCTCGGCCGGGGTGACGTTGGAGGCGGGGGAGGTGACGGTGGAGGTGGTGACAGAGGAGGTGATGGACCCGATGGTGGAGGGAGTGGGTGCGGGGGCAACAGGGCCGACGAGTGTGTGGACGGCGATGTTGGTCACGGTGGTCGCACCATGACTCGCATGCCTGCCATCGTTTTGAAGCGGTTGAGACACGGGGGTAAACGGGATGACAACATTGCTTCTCGTGTGCGTAGACGTCGTGTGACTCGTGTCCACGTCGCGACCCGGACGCAGTCACATGTAATGCAGCACGACCCGGTCGTCGTGTCGGAGGATGACATGGGTGACCATCCCGCGTCTTTGGCGCGGGAGGAGAGTGGAGTGGTGTTCACTCGTCCCCGGTCGCCGGAGCCCACTGTCGACACCGCGGAGGAGACGGAGTTCCATCGCATGCCTTCCACTGATGTTGTCACGGGCGTGCACGGGGCGCCCAGGGCGGAGGTCTAGCCCGCAGGCGTGGGTATGGAGGACGGGGAGGCGCCACCCCCTCCCACGACAGACGCTGGTCTGGAGGACGGAGAGGTCGAACCTACTCCCGCTTGTGCCGATGATGGCCTCGGGTCTGTACGCTAAAGTAGAGAGGATGTGGCGCGTGCCCTGGCGAGCGCCGGTTACTCCGCAGAGGATATCCACCACACATTGGAGGGATGCCCAGCCACGCTTCAGCAGAGCGTCGGCCTCCATTGCCCGCCCGACAATCTTCCACGCACTGATGAGTTACTGGCTATGGACTCAGCCTTAGCAGGTCTGCCCGAAATATCGCTTTTGATATCTCCCTGTTTGTCAGACGTGGCGCCACCAGAGGCTACTCAGCTTGATGAGACGCGTCATGACACAGGATTCGACGCGGTCGGCGGCGACACGAGACTGCATCCTTGAGAGGTCCTCAGCTCTCCCGCCGGTTTTCATGTGGGGGCCCCTAGGGCTGTGCAGCAGGGGTTGGCGGAGGAGGTGGCACGAAACCGTCGTGGTGGGCTGCGCGTTGCAGCGCAACGCAGTCTGGGAGAGTCATTAGAGGCAGCTTCCGCGGATAATGCGGCGCCCGAGGGTCGTGGTTCGAAGGATTTTTCAGACGGCGGGTCGTTAGTCCCGCCACGGGCGGCGGGTCATCAGGCAGAGCCGCACCCGGGCCCGACGGTGGCGACAGAGGCGCAGGTTTCGAGGGTCGTTCGGTCGGGAGGAGGCGACGGCACGGGGCAGGATCGGGCTCAGGCACTGCGCGCAGCTGATGGTCAGCCCGTTGGCAGGGACAGCGAGCATGGTGGGTCATCGACCACACACCCCGGTGCTGGCGGGCCCATCGCACATGGTGTCGGAGGCGGGCATGCAGGCGACCCTCGACCGCATATGCCGGGGATTTGTCTACCACCCCCGCACCCCCCCGCCGTCGACCCCGCCGCCCATGGCCTGGATGCGCGCAGTGCATTGCCGACGATGTCTTTCTACAACGGCGCGAGCACAGACCAAGGGGCGGGCGATATGGGACATGCATCAGCATGTGGACCGACAGATGTGCCCGCGGGGACGCGGTTGATAGGCCACGTCGATAGCAGTTGTCACGAGTCCATGAGAGCTTTCGAGGAGCGGCATGGGAGGCCCATACGGCCCAAGACAGAGGACGTTCATGACACTAGGATGGCAATTGCGAGGCTGTCTCGGGCGAGGAAGAAGGGGACAGGTATGTCGATTCCGTATCACCGGCGTCGCCCGCCACCTATTTCTCGCTACAGAGATCAGTCCACACAGATGTCGGCGGCTGCTGACGAACAGGCGGGGGCAGACGGGGGTGACGGCGTGGACAGACCAGGGCGAGGCGAGAAGAGACGAGGCGGCTGGAGCACCATCCGTGATGACAGTTTCACAACCGCTGAGGCCGGTGAGACGACAGGGGCCGACGATCCTAATGACTCCGATTACGTGCCGAGGTTACGGACGGCAGATGGAGCTGACGGCGGAGGACGACGCGTGAGGCAGAGGACAGGACTCGGCCCGCAAGGGCACTGCACGCCATCGGCCAATGTGCCACTTATTGAGCGATGGGCGCAAGCTCGCTCTATGTTGCGCAGGCAGGAGGAACGAAGTTTGGCGCGGGAGACATCGACATTGGGGGGGGAGGAGAGAGAGAGAGAGAGAGAGATTGCGAATGTGTCACGGGCGTGTGTTTTTTACTCTGTGTGCAACGACTTGCTGATTTATGTTGCCGTGAGTGATTGCGAGGCTGTACTATGTCTGTGTGGTTTGCAATGTTATGCATGCTGATTGTTGTTGTTGCGTGTTTGTTGTGTGCGCACGTCAGTCCCACTGAGGCCTGTAGACTGTTCTTAAAATAGAACCAGTCCGGTCCTGCTGTCGCACGCCCAGTCTTCCCGGAACATTAAAGGCCCTGAGGGGCCCACAGTGGGTAGAGCCCGTAGCTGGGTAAGGGCCTCGAGGCCCCAACTGAAACGGTACCGGGTAGTCTATTTTCATGGCCAGTTGGTCGGTCGAGTAGGGTCTGGTGACTGTGGTCGGTGTAGGTTAGTGTAGGGCACTGTAGGCCTAGTATATGTAGACGTGACTCATCGTTAGAGTGACTCATCGGCACTGAAGACTCCACTGCGACTCATGATCTTCATCTTGGTGTTTGGCGCTGGCCTCTGGGAGGCTGTTTCTGTGTAGCGCTGGTCTCTGAGAGTGGGGTAGTGTGTGGGGTGTGAGATACCAAGGTGGCGAGATACTGGGTTAAACTGTGTAACGATAGTTGGGGTTAATTGAGTTGAGTTGGCTCATCATCAGTGTCTTATTCCAATTGTGATCTTCGCAGTGTCATCTTGTGATTGGTTGTTGGGAGTTTGTCAGAGAGAGAGGAACACTGTGTGTATTCTCCGCATTTGTGCATGGTTGATAGTCACTTGATACACTGATATTCCGCTGCTTATCTCTGGTCGCTGCCTGTGCAGTTTGGACTCTGTCTCCTCTCCCCTTTGTCTTATGCATGTATGGGCATGTGTGAGATACTATGTGTATGAGTGGCGAAATAATCGTCACACAACCATGTCCAATGTTCATAACACAGTGTGAATGGCGAAAAATTGCCAGATAACCAGGTTCATGAAACCAAAATCCCTCCCGCTGCATCGCCCACAACTCGCCCCGGTTCCCCGCCGAGGCGGCACCGACCCCCCCCAGTGCCCCCACCCCATGCCTCCTGAGCCCTCTTCCGGGTCTTCCCCCCCGCCTGGCGCCCACGGCCCCTCGCTGAAGACGGCTCAGTGCGGTCACCCCCACCGCCCCGCGGCATGGTGCCCCGCCCCCCTTGCAGCCCGCGCTTTTCGAGCCGCTGACCCCCGCCACCCGCCACCCGC